CGGTTAACATAGTGATCAAGAAGTCTGGATTTGTGATGAAACTCCCACTATACTGTAGGAGCTGGATTTGTATTCTGGGGTCCTAACCTGACTCACTTCAGTAAAAATACCCAGCTGTATGAAAAACTTCACCTTGTTCTTTCAGGGACAGAGGACTACACTCCCCCAGAGTGGTTCCTCACTCAAAAATACAGAGCTGGCCCCTGCACGGTGTGGTCTCTGGGGGTGACACTATATCAACTTGTGTGCGGCTATCTGCCCTTCCCCACCAAGAGGGCAGCCATTCGAGGCCGCTTGAAATTTCCTCCGTCGGTCTCTCCTGGTGAGCAGCTTACTTTTTGTCCCGTGACTCGAGTCCCCCAAAAGGGAGTGTTGCATTATGACTATGTGACTCTGCCAATGTATTCTCTCACAGACTGCCGGAATCTTATTAGGCAGTGCTTGAAGCGGAAGGCAACAGATTGCCAGACCATGGAGCAGAGTGAGCTCCATCCTTGGCTTCAGCACTGCTGACCAGTGAGCTGAGGGTCACTGCAAAAAGTACCTCTGCCTCTAGAAAGGCTTGCTAATCTTTCATTTAAAAATAATAGGAAAACAAAACATACAGATGATGTAGCAGCTGCTTTACGTCAAGGTAGCTCATAACCAGTTCCTGTTGGTTCCTGAGCACAGCTTTCTTTTCAGTGCCCTCATACTTTCTTTTGCAGAAGACTGATGTGACGTGTGCCATAAGACAGTAAGTGCAGGATAGCGGCATCTAGACACAGGGACAGAAGGCATAAACATCACAGTGTGCTCTGACATCAGCCATCTTAAATAATGCTGATCACTCAAAGATGTACTTATACACATGCTTTTTACAAGTGTTTTTCATTTAATGTCGTCTTTGTTGATTTATTGTGGAAAATGATCCAATATTACATACTTGTCTGGGGAACAAAGCCGTGACTCGGTCATTGCTGTTACTAACTGGTGTCACCCAGTTGGGTAACAGTTCACTTAAAACGTTTCCAGATCATATTTATGCAGGAAGATAGAATTTGAAAGGGTTCACAAATTTTATAGAATCACATGTAGAGCACAAAAATCTATTTTTCCTGTAACCACTGCAGTGAGCACTTTTGTCTATGTGAAATTGATCATTACAAGCAGATGATCGTTATAACCGATTTTTAAAATTTGTCTTTCTATCTCAGGCACAATACCACTGTAGTAGAGACTACGGTTGGGATCACTCTCCCAGGGCACTGGGTCTGATTCTGGGTCTGTATATCCCAGCGTGTCGGCTACAGCACCACTTCAGGATCAGGATCAGGATCCTGGAGAATCTTTATGGCTTAATTCAGGCCTAATATCCCTTATCCAGTTCTTGTATAGCACAGGGGTTTTGTACAAGTGTGTGTGTGTGTGTGGACTAAAGCAGGGGTAGCCAATCTTATCCGCAAAGGGCCGGTGTGTATACAGGTTTTTGGGATAACCTGTAGGTCAGCTGTTCAAACCCAGGTGTGAGGACTCTTTCAGCCAATCAGTCCTCTAATTAAGGAGTTCCAGTGAAAACCCGTATACACACCGGCCCTTTGCGGATAAGATTGGCTACCCCTGGTCTAAAGGAAACAGAGGATCCTTGGTGATCCATGGATTGAAAATAGGGAACCAAATGGGATCCAAATGGGATACAACTGGGACCCATTTGGGCAATTGTGACTGGACCCATATCAGACCCAGACCATATCTTCATGTGGGCCCATGTGTGTTTTAAATGGGAAATATAACTGATTCAAATTAGGTTTGGCCATAGGTTCCGTGGAGGACCCACATGAGTCTACCCAAGTGGGTTCTGTGTGGAATTCAAATGTGTTATATTTGGTGTGGCTCAGAGGATTAGGCCTCCGCGCTGGTAACTAGAAGGTCACCAGTTCAAGCCCAGCCTCAGCATACCTGTGGACCCTTGAGAGAAACCCCCAGCTCCCTGGGCACTGCTACAGGAGAAGCCCGTCACTGCTAAGCTTGCTCTCATCTATGGAGAGCAAGAGGGGATAGGCAAAAGAAAATTTCACTACAGGGGTTAATAAAGCAAATTCATTTCAAAGATAAAAGTATAGAACTGTCCAAAATGTCTTGGTGTTGTTATAGCACAGGAACAAAATCACAAATGTCCTACGGTGGCCTAGTGCTGATCTCTGTTTTAGTAAGAATATGTGGACCATCTGAACCATAATGCAAATTGGAAAACTGAAATAGTGGTTTTCCAATTCAAGTGTTATGTGATATTCAAATGATAAGTCAATACCAATGCATTTTCACAGGCTTCCACTTAACATATATCCCATTAAGGATGGTAGAGTAAACTTTTTCCACAGCCTCTACTAGGATATAAGAAATCTCTCTCTCCCCAGCAAGAGAGAACTAGATGGTTAAAGTGTACTTACTATAAACAACTTCAAAAAGCTGGCAATTATGAAATGCTCGCTTGCCATGGCGCCCAAAGAGGTTGTCCCTCAGGACAAGGTCACTAGTCACCAGGAAATAGCACCACCTATTTCAGAGAGTACAGAAATCTGAAAATATAGTTCACGCACAGTAACATTTATTACAATGAAATTCACTGTACAATCAAACTGAACCTGTCAATCCAAATCAACTAAGATATAAAATTTTTACTACATTATTCATAAATGTAGGATCAGCCAGTCTTTCTTCCAGTGAATCCATATCAGCAAAGTTGGTCAAAGGAAAATTTGCACCTTCAGGAAGCTGACAGTCTCCATGTTTCAAGAGTGCATTTAACATTTTTCCATTGATTTGCTGTGTATCCTTAATTTCTTCAAGTACAGCCAGGACTCGGCAAAGAATGGAATTCATTGCTTTTCTTGGTGTGCCTGCTACGGGGCTGATGATTGGCTGGTGTTGTTGTGCTGCAGGGCTGGTGATATGTTGGCCTCCTTGCAAGAGTATAACAATTAAACCAACTATCAGTATATCGATCGGTAAAACACATGTATTACTAGTTTTGGTAAGCACTTTGGGAAAATGACAATTCATTAGCTTCATAACTATTAAAATGGTTGATTGTCTTAGTACACATATGAACTCCAAGAAATGCATATAATTGACTACAGTCCTAACTTTGTGTGCCATGCGGCTGGAGTCGGACTAGCCACCTGCACGGCTGGTGATGTTCTGGCTTCAGTGCTGCAGGGCTGGTGATATACTGACCTCCTAGTAAGAATACAGCAATGGAATCATTAGTCAGTAATGGAAATGGCATGAAATTGCCTAAATATTAGCATGTGGAGAAATGGCTTTAAAAAGCATCTTGCAAAAATAACTGCTATTCATAAAATAATTTCACAGTATGGAAGATTCTAACAAAAGCAAAAAGGAGTGACTTGTAATTTCCTGTAACAAGTACGCTACATAAGAGAACCAGGCCGATATTTACTGCCACCACCTTTGATTTAATAATGCTGGGGAGGCCCAGCCAAATAAGGACGCCAAGGCAGAAGAAAATATTTTATTAANTGTTGTGCTGCAGGGCTGGTGATATGTTGGCCTCCTTGCAAGAGTATAACAATTAAACCAACTATCAGTATATCGATCGGTAAAACACATGTATTACTAGTTTTGGTAAGCACTTTGGGAAAATGACAATTCATTAGCTTCATAACTATTAAAATGGTTGATTGTCTTAGTACACATATGAACTCCAAGAAATGCATATAATTGACTACAGTCCTAACTTTGTGTGCCATGCGGCTGGAGTCGGACTAGCCACCTGCACGGCTGGTGATGTTCTGGCTTCAGTGCTGCAGGGCTGGTGATATACTGACCTCCTAGTAAGAATACAGCAATGGAATCATTAGTCAGTAATGGAAATGGCATGAAATTGCCTAAATATTAGCATGTGGAGAAATGGCTTTAAAAAGCATCTTGCAAAAATAACTGCTATTCATAAAATAATTTCACAGTATGGAAGATTCTAACAAAAGCAAAAAGGAGTGACTTGTAATTTCCTGTAACAAGTACGCTACATAAGAGAACCAGGCCGATATTTACTGCCACCACCTTTGATTTAATAATGCTGGGGAGGCCCAGCCAAATAAGGACGCCAAGGCAGAAGAAAATATTTTATTAACCCCTCCCCAGGTGTTCCTCATTAACATGCAGGGAGCGACCACACCCAGAGCCGTTCACTACATTATTCTGATTTGTATTCAAGCAAAATAGTATGGTCGATACATGATATATGCTCGTTTATCTCTTGCTAAAGCGTCAAAATCTCTTTCGTTCGATAAAGTACAGCTGTACAGTACTGTATAATGGTCTATGCATTTTATGTTGGTAATGCCTTAATGTGCTTTATCAATTACCATATGTAAGTACAGGATAATCACGTTATATTTGAGGTCCGTGGGTGGTTTAGCTTTATCCGCGGTTTCGGCCATCTGCGGCTGGTCTTGTAACGTATCACCCGCAGATACGGGGGACTAATGTAATTATTTATCACTTAACACTACGGGAAAATTTATGCCCAAAATAACAGCCATATACAGAACATTTCACTGACAAAACAAACGTTTTTTTTTCTGCTTACCACTTATATTAAAACATAAAATTTGTACTCACCTTCCCGGCTCGCTCTTCCCGCCTGCGTTCCCGGCCCGCTCGCTCTTCCCGCCTCTGGCTGCTTCCATCTCCAACTACATTTCACGGCCAGTTATGATATGCATCCGCGGTAAGTTTTGGGGTACCTTTTATTTTCAAGATTTTAGGGGGAAATTGGCAAATTTAACGTGTTAACCAGAAGATCAAAGCGTTTCCTATATTTATTTAATTTCAATGTGAGAATATTTTAATAATAATAATTAAAAATAAGAAGGTCTATTTTTTACAGTGGAGGAACCTCTTTAATTAATTGTGGTGATACAAGTGCATCTGAATAACTTATACGTGAATTTTACCATAGTGTATTTAACCCTTATATTTTATGGCAGTGTATTATGATTGAATAAGTAAATATTATAAATTGATTTAAATAGTACATGATGTATTAAATTCGTTGAAGGGAACAGCGATCGAAGTACCACAATAGAAAAAATTTTGCTTAACAAATTTTGATTAGTAAGAATGCTTGCTGAAATCATCTACTTTAGGCATATATTATGTGTTGGCTAATGATCTGTCAGGAAATGCCATGTCAATAGTGCACTTACACTGTAACTCTAACGGAATTTTGTAAAATAAGTTGGGAGCTGTTGCCGCCAGTTGTACCAACAGGCACGAGGCAGTGCCGACAAATCGCTTGTTTTTGCACCGTATTGTCTCTGGGGAATAGGAAATATTTCCATACAGCGCAAGAGGACTGTCGTTCGGTGACCAGCTCTTGTTCGCTTTTCTCATTTTCTTGCATTTTTGCTAAGTTTCACATAAACGTGCTACACTGTCTGTGACGACCCAGACACATTAGACAACATTTCGTATCGGCTCAGTTTTTTCTTAATTTTATTCGTCGCCGAACAAGACAGTATACTTGGTCGAAATACTTTCGGCTTCAGAACGAATAAAACACAACTTATTAGAGAATGGATAAATAATAATTATCCATCCATCCATTTTCAATATCCCCGAGGCAGGTAGTAACCCAGGAAGGGACGCCAATCCATTGACGGGGACACACACCATTCACACACGCCTTCACACTTACGGACTGTGGGGGGGAACTCGGAGGAAACCCAACCATGACAGGGGGAAAATATACAAATTCACTGATAAATAGTATTTTCAAATACCTTATTTATTTTTAAATATTATGGCCGGACCCGCCAAAATTGAACCGCGCTTTTCTGAAACTCGCAGATGCGCGTGCGCCTCACTAATAGTCAACAAAAGAGTCACAGCAAACAGTGATGATCTGTTTGTGGTTCTTGGTAAGTGCATTTTGAAACTATATCAAGACTGACATCATGTTAGTCTGTTAAATATCTCTATCAAACATTAAGTTTTCTAACTTAGTTTACACTGACTGACATTATGGAAGCCGTAGTCCTTTTAGTCAGACAGGCTAACAGGGTGAGCTGACAGCTATAGCTGATATAGTCCTATCCATGCTAAATATAACTAAAACGAAAGTGGGCTTAAAGTAAAAATTAGCGATTATGGTGAGAGCTTGTTATCAAAATTAGTGAATATCTCCGCAAAACTCTACCACATGTCCGTCCATCGTGTGTTAAATCTTAGCCAGTGTTGCTAGCTAAGGTTATCCGAGCCGCTGGTCGCATTGGCCTGTGTTAGAAGTTATTGTGGTTGTTAAGTGGAATGATGCCGGCAGTATTTTTGTACGTCTGTGTAAAATTCTAATGATGGGTTCAGTGTCACCAACCTGGCAGTAAATACTATCTAAGGTCATTACAAACCTGTTTGTGTCTTCCAGTTCAAGCTCCTTGACTGGTTTGAAGGGCTCGATGAGTACATTATGATTCTGGAAAGGCCAGATCCCTGCCAGGATCTCTTCCAATTCTGCTTGTCAAAGGGAGGGTTCCTGTCAGAGGATCTGGCCAGACACGTGGTGGCGCAAGTGCTCCAGGCCTTGCGCCACTGCCAGAAACATAATGTGCTTCATCGAGACCTCAAACCGGAAAACCTCCTCATACAAATGCAGTCTCTACAGGTGAAATTAATAGATTTTGGCTGTGGAGACATTTGGAGGGATTCGGTGTACACCGAAT